CCCCCGCCCGGAGCCGAAGAGCGCAGGCAGCGCGCAGGCAGCGCGCAGGCAGCGCGGGCGGAGGGCGGCGCGGCGACCTCTGCTGGCCGAGGGGCGAGCGGCCACGACTCCGCGCGATGGGAGAGTTTCGGACCTTTGTGCCTTCCCGGCTATAGCAAAAATCGCCCGCTTTCCCCCCGCATGAGGCATGCCGAGAGCCCCCCTCTGCTCGCCCCCCCTCGGATGACCACACGGGCTGCGAGCTGGCAACAGATACAACTAATAAGAAACAAACAAACAAACAAAAAGTAATCGTAATTACTGAGAAAAAATAATCCCCGGATTTTATGAAAGAGACTGAAACGGGCAAGGGGTTTTTCCGCACGGAGTTCCATGCATTTTCCCCCAAGGATGTTTCTATTTCTTTCAAAAATTTACCCTGATTACAATACACTCCCTCCCGCTGTGAAACAGCGCATCTTCTTTTCCATCGTTGCACCTTTGTTTGAAAATAACTTAATCTGGTTTTAATTCTATTAACCCCCACCTCCTAACTGTTGGGGTTTTAACTACTACTGCTGGGGGAGGTGACTGCATTTTAAGCTTGATCTTTGCAAATGATGTGCAATAAGCCAGAAACCTGTCTCCGCCCCAAGAAACCAGGATTGGGGAGGAAAGGAGGGCTTTGATCAAGACGGTGTTTTTGTTTGTTTGTTTGTTGGTGGTGGGTTTTTTGTTGTTGTTTGTTTCTTTTTTTTTTTTTTTTCCTCCCCCCTCCTGTGCTACTGATTTGCTTACTGTGTATTCGATTCGCGTTTCCAGGAAAGCTAAGCTCTATATTTAGCTAGCATCAGAATCGGGTTTAAGAGGGTGAAATGAGTGGAACTGCCAGTTTCAATGAATAAGGTATTTAGAGAAAAACCCCGCTGAACGATTCCTCTTTTATTATATCAACATGCACGTGAAAAGGAAGACATAAAAAGGGATTTGTACATATCCGAGACACTTCCAAAAATATATATTAATTTTATTTTTGCCTCTTGTTGTGTTTTGTTTTTCTTTTTCTTAATTATTTATTTTCGAGGAGAGGACTGGGGGAGCCTGCTAAAAGTCGGTGGCTCCACGCAGCAATCAATAGCTTTCATCACGTTGAGGGGCTCAAATGAGATTATATGTATTCGAGGGAAGGGGAAAAAAAAACCCACAACAAACCAAACCCCAAACCGACAGCGGCGATTAACCCTTTCTGTCCCGTAAAAAAACCAGTTATAAAATCGGTCCTGAGTCTGCTTAGCGGCGAAAACTAGGACGGCTTCCCAGAGGGGAAAAAAAGAGGGAAGAAAAGAAAAAAGTCGGCTTTAGGAAATTATTAAAGAAGTAGTGGTTTCGAAGGCAGGCAGCATAGGGGCTGAGCGAGATGCTCTTGCTGGCCAGGGCTGGAGCAGTACGGTGCAGCGGCGGTCAAGCTCGGGGCTGGAGCTGGATAGCGGGGGGTCTCCACCCCTACCCCCGGGGCCCGTCGCGATCAGCATCTCGGAGACCTGTCCGCGGGAGGAAGCGAAGTCCCCACACACACAGCGACTTCGACTCCTACTGGGAGGGCTATTTTTGTCCCACTTTATGGCGGTGGCTCAGCGCAGCCTCGCGACTCGGGCACTCTGACACGCTTCTTCAGTCAGTTTCGACTTAAAACTTCTCTTGAGAAGCTCTGGATCAGAAAGATGCTTTGTAAGAAGAGTCTGGGTTTTGTCTCCCAAAGGTTCAGATTTTCCCTCGCTGCCTTGAGGGGTGCTGCGAGCAGACCAGGGCTGAGCCCGTGCAGTGTGCTGAAAGGGGAAAGGGGTTTCTCACAAGGCTGAAACTGAAAACAACACAATGGGAAAATCACAAAATGTATTAACTGATCCTCGGTGTAGTATTTGACTCATCTAGAGGAGTGCGATCTTTAATCTTTAATAAACTCTTAACTACTGCATGTGAGAAAGAAGTGCACCATGACAGTACTAAGTCTATCAAAACATAAGAAAACCTTTCAGTGAGCTTTTGAGCACCCAGAAAACCTTCGTGACTCTAATAATGCAATTTGGCTTATTAAATCGCCCTACGACTTGTAAAAAGAAAAAACAAAACAAAACAAAAAAAGCCCCCATCCTTTCTCTCTCGGGATGTCCTAATTCTGTCACGGGACCGGTCAGCGGCACCGGCCCCTCTTTAATCCGATCAAAAATGGGCACACTGTAACTGTAGTGCAGGCAGGGGAGCAACGTCTTGGCAGCTGGGTGAAAATAAACCCTGAAAGATTTTTGGGAAGGAAAATCCCCAGAAAA